AAGGAGATCGGAACTTATCTTTATTTTCTTGGTACAGCCTTGCTAAGGTGACTTTTAATGGAGTAACCAGCTCTTCCTCCCTGGGCCTCTTCTCAGATTTCCACGAGGTCTAACGCTGTGGCTGAACCTGCTTTTGTCTGATCTTTGCTTTGGTTTTCTCTTCTGTTGATATGACGGATGTCTTCCGAGCGTTAGCTGCCTCTTATTCTTCCAAGCGCACAAATCCATCAGCTCTTTCATTAAGTTCATCAATAGTTTTCGGCGTATTCACTACCAAGCTTGTGTGGAATGGAGTGCCACGAGTCATAGCCAATATAAACGCTTGAACCGCCGTAGAAGGATGACATTCAATCACCATACTCTTAGTAAGGTTAAACCTGGTTAGGAAAGCTTGGAGACGCTCATCCTCATGCTGCTTCATTGTGAATAGGCTCGAAATATCCTTTGTTGGACGCTTATTTCCATAATAGTGGCTTATGAACCGATCACACAAACTTCGAAAACTATCCACTGAGCCCCTCGGCAGGTTCTTGAACCAATTGAGCGCTGGTCCAGCTAGACTTGTAGGGAAGCACTTGCACATCAAGGAATCATTCTCGGTGTTCAGAGCCATTTTCAACTGGATGTGATACACATGATCAATCGGATCGGTCGTTCCGTCGAACAGAATGAAAATAGGCATGGAAAATTTCCTCGGACTTGGAGCATTCAGAATTTCATCGGTGAACGGTGAATCAATCGTTCAAGCTGCTGAACGGAGGGCTTCATTTTCCCTCTGGAACCCCGTGGTTGCTCTCTGATCTACAGATCTCCTCTCTGAGCTGCAATAGTCGAGCATCACCATGGAAGGCCGATAAGTCGGATCGAATGATCTTTCCTCAATAAACTCTTTATGCCAAGGCGGTATAGCTTTATGGCGATCAAACTCCATTATCCTCGGTTGAGCGTTTTTTAATATGGATCAAAAGTCATGGCTTCGTTTCGCCTGATCTGTTCACACCGTTGATCCACGTGAGTTAATCCTTTACGATCATCAACACGACGAGGATTTGGCGGCAAATTGTTTAGCCGGACCTCCTCACGGTGAAGATCCGTCTGATTGTTCCCTACCTCTTCACCGTGATGTGCTTCATCGGTACGTACAACTTCTTCTCCTGCCAGGAGCGATCGCGGAATCACCGGAACTTCTTGACGCTGCATTTCAGTCCTTAGATCTGCATTCTCTCTCCGGAGAGCTTCGATCATGCTCATCAACTCATCAAGTTTCATTTGCTGGACATTCTCTACCGTATTGGAGTTCTTACCTCCAGTCATCATTCCAGAACGGAGCAAAGGCATGAATCATAAATTCTAAGTTAGATCTGAGTCTCGCTGAAGCGAATCACGTCAGATCTGGACTCAAATTTTACGAATTACGTTCTCCCTTCGATAGATCAGAGCTTTTCCGGCGTCTGAGCTTGCTGGATCGAGCCGCGATAGAGTGAATCACAGCTGCGTAAACCTAACGCCAATTTCTCAGAATCAATCAAAAATCAAGAATTTCTCAAGAGCAAACCACAATCTCTTAGATCTGGATTAAACTTCTAGAAGTCAAGCTTCGTTGTCATCAATCAGTCTGAATCAACATGACGTTGATCAAACAAGAATCAACCTCCAACGCTTCCCACAGACGGCGCCAATTGAAGATGCAAAGAATTTTCTCTCTCTACTTTGACAGAGTTTCATTACATTTTCCATAAAAAATAAATCTCCCCCCCCCCCCCCCCTCTTTTACTCTCTTCACTGCCCTTTTATAGGCAATTACAAATGCTGCTGGACTATTAGTTTTGGGCCTTCTTTCCAATGGGCTTGGTCTTCTTCGGTGGACCCTCCGAGCTCGGCCCATTCTGTGGTGCTCTTGTATGGGCTGTATTTCAAATGTTTGCCCCGATGCCACGTCCGCGGACTATAACCGGCCCATCTCACTTATTGTATCCTCAATATATATATATAACCAAAGTGTAATTACAGAAACAACTGCTTCAGTGAAAATGTAAAATGTTAGTTCTAGTAATTGAACTAATAATTTCAACCATTTTGCATATTATCTTGATCTGAAACTACACTTAAATTTATTTAAAATTTCCTGTTATAGTTTGATCCTTTGGTGATGATTGTCCATAGGTTTGTGTTTCTTTCAATTTACTCATTTTGTGCATTAGCGAAAAAAGAAAAAAAAATACTACACAGCTCTGATAAGAATTTTCGGTTCTTGTAAGTCTGCACTGGTGGGAATTCAACTCCAAAATACAGACTCTTGCCTTCTCTTCTGTAAGGAATTGTAAACCCCCACCAAATTACAAACACATCTTTTTTGCGAAAAAAAAAAAAAAAAAATTGAGAAAAAGACATAAAGGAATGAAGAAAGCCTTCATCTGTGTAAAATCTTGAATAAAAGAAGGTAACAAAAAAAGGGATCTTTTTTGCCACTAAAGAGCAGTTCCCATCAATTGGACTACAAAATTCCTATTTTTTTTTCATTCCGAGACCAATGTTTTGGCATCAACTTGAGTCTTGATGACATGTAGAGTTCTATCTTTTTACTGTGTTCTTATGATCTAGATATTAAGATCACCTTTTTTCATTTCTTATCCATCTATTTGGAGTCAAACTTCCATCTACAAACCATTCATTAAGGAGTCAAACATAAAAAAAGCATCCTGTTAGAATGGAAACTTGCAAGGAAGCTTCTCAAATCATACTCATTCTTCTGTATTAGGAAAAATGACAAAGATATTGAGAACAAATTAAACAGTAGTAGGTGACATGGGACCAAGAAAAAAGAGGTTTCCTTGTGTCTCCTTCACCTTTTAAAGCATCAAAAGGCCAAAATTTATCGCACAAGATATATAATTCAAAGTTCAAATACAATTCACTTCATTGTTTACAAATTTCAACAATAGGATTCAAACACGAAGAAAAGGATGCTTAACAAACAAAAAGATGTTTTCTTATGTTTTCCTTAACTGTTAGGATGGTATCAGAAAAAAAATCAGAAGATCTTATAAGAGACATACTTCAAATACAAATTTCACTTTCATGGAACAAGCTTAAACCTTTCAGTATACCCTAAGTTTTTCTTCATGCATAAAATCTAAATGTATCCCAGGCAGTCAAGATCTACTCTGATTTTTTTTTTTTTTTTCCTCAGAATACATATTATGAAGAAAAAATGTCAATTCATATCCATATCCATATTGTGAATAAAAAATGTCAATTCATATCCATATCCATATTGTGTATAAAAAATGTCAATTCATAGATAAGAACCCCAAAGAGTTATCTTTGTTTCATTTAATGGAAAACAGATTATCAATACTATCATAAAATGATCAAATTGACCCGCTCAAGTCAATCTAAGTCTTAGAAGTAATTTTTATTAGCAACCAAGAATATAAATAAATAAATACATAGATTTATAGTTACACATTCACATATGTCCAGTATCTCTAAGGGAATTAGAACCTTCTATAACTAGAGCTATGATTACAGAGGCTCAACTAGAAGAGTTTATGGACATGTAGACTAGACATAATAATGAAGTTAATGTATCAGAATTCCATCAAAATGCTTAATTGGAAAGCCAAAGATTTAAGCTTAAATGAAAGATTCTAAAGTGGAAGAAATAGCAAATCTGAAATAGTATTGCACAATATATGTATCAAGAATAATTGATCCTAGGAGGGCAAGACAAATCCAAAAATAATCCACAAAATTATACGTATAATCCATGTTTATACTGAATCTGATCTAATCAAATAGAAGGACAATTTGACAACGATGCCAAACAAAAAATTTCAATTTGGACTCTACTCTAATAGAACAATTGAATAATAGTAATACTACATAACAATATTCATGCAAGCACTCAAAATCAATCCCAGTATTAATTTCAATTACAGATATCAATTCTGGGTTTTAGATCAACAAAAAATTCAACCAAGAAATGAAAAAATATAATCTCGATTCAACTAAAACCCAGAAATGGAGAAATTGAAAAATAAAAATAAAAATATAAAATCAACATTGCCATGAAAGAAAGTGCAAAATAGAGAATAATTTAAGAAAGGTACCACAGGGCGGCTGCTGTTACTTCTTCCTTGAGACGCTGAATACAGAGAGAGAAATCGCCTCACACAACTGCAAGAGAGAAAACAAATCACCTCTAGAATCAAATCACACTTGTAATCACACTATTACAAGTATTTTAGGGCTTCAAAGTACTTACACTCTTCAATATCGCGAGGTTCATTTGGGTCGCTTCCCAAATCGCCAGACGTCTAGGGTTTCAGAGGAGAGAAAAAATATCGGGTCGAATGTTGTAAATGGCTTTTAAACTTGTTTCCTCCGCCACAGTGTTCAACATAACTTATTTCATCCGCTACAATGCTTCTATTGGGCTAACAGTATTGAAACAAGAAAAAACACGGTGTTTCACTTTGCCCAAATTTTGAAAATTAGTACTGTTTAAAACAAAACAGCAGTTATCAAACATGTTTTGACCCTGAAATGAGGCCTTACAACAAAAATACCTAAAACAAAACAGCCACCAAACAACCTTCAGTAATGCTTAATTAGTGCACTCTAGAGAGCATTTTAAGAATTTTTTTTTATTTTTTTGAACAAAAAAAATCTCATAAAGACGAGGTATTGAGTGTGCTCGATACCCTATGGTTCATTCAAACACGTGTACGGTTCATTGGAGCCGGTGCACGACCAGTTGGTTCTTGCTGTTTGGTTAGCTTTATTACAAAGAATACTTTTACCCGTTTTGCCAATCATTTCACTTTGAAAAAAGTGACACATATCACTCTTTTCAATCTTCCAGTTTTGTCTTTTTTGTCCCTCAAGTCTGTCCCACCAAATTACTCTCCATCCCCACTTCTTTCAACAATATCAACCACCACCAATCCAACGAACCACTATAACAAAACCCGGTACAACTCTTTAAAGCACCATTCTGATTTGCCAAAGGTCATTGTAGCCTGGCAATAGCAGACGCCTACACAGAAACTTCCCACGCCCACCAAACGCCCCCTCTCACCATCATCAGGTTTCCTTTTCCTCCGCAATCTCTCCACTCTCTCTCTCCTCCACTTTCTCTCTCCTCCCTTTCTGGGTTTTCTGCACCCCTCGAAATTCCCGCTATTCCGAATCTCCATTCGCCGAGAAAAATGGCCTCCTCGGCCTTCAAATCCACCTCCAAACGAGGAACTACGGGTTCCGATAGTTCATCCAAGAAAGAGTTGCCTCGAAAAAGATCTTCAAGCGTTAGTGCTGTGTCAAGAACCCAAGTGGAAATACCCTCTGAGTTCTTGAACAAAAGGGACAATCCTCTCTTCTGGAGCTCCGTTTCACCTCCCGACAAAGAAATCGAGCCCCAAAAATCCGTTGGAATCGGTAAATCAGCTCAAAATGCATCGAAAGTTAGTGGGTTGTCTTCCAAAGCTGCCAGTGATGTGGACAGCAAAAGGGGTCGATCGGTGACGAGGAAATCGGATGCTGTCAGTGAGAAGGTTTCGGGCGGGAAGAAGGAGATTGGTCGGAGCTTGTCCAGGGTGGGCACAGGGCGGCGCGTGCGGTCTGTGTCTATAGGCCATTACGGTGCCTCTGAGGTATGGACTTTGTGCTTTTGGAAATGAAATTTTGAAAATTTTGGCTTATTCAATGTTAATCTTATCGTCAATCTTGTTTTTTTTTTTTTTTTGAATTTTGGGTTTTTAGAGTGAAGTGGAACAAGAGTCTGTTGTATCATCCAATCATCGAAACAGAAGTAATTCGAATTCAGTCCCTAATGATGTTAAAAAAGCTCGGGAAAGAACAAAGATTCCGCGGATTCCAGTTACGGAGTCTGCTGAGAGTTTGGTACATTTTTGTTATATTTTGTGATTTGTGATTATGGAATTACTTGTAATGATTTATCTGTTTAATGATGTTGTTAATCTTTCTGAATTGTATGCCTTTCAGTCTTCGTTGCCAGTTCCGAATTGGGAAGATGGAATCTCAATTGGTTCTTTGTCAGAAGCTGAAGAAAAAACTATTAAAGCAGTTTGTGAACAGATGGAGGTGAGGTGCTTGTTTCTTAGGTCCTACATTTTGGATATAATAAGAGTACACTTATGGGTTAGTTGCTTAAATGATAGTTCGAAAAATAAATGTTAGTCTGGAAGTTGATTAGATGTGAATCTTTATTTTTTGTATATGGTAATGTTTGAGGTAACTTGTGATAAAGTTTGGTTTCTGTTCTACCTATTGCAGTCATTCGGTGGGGATGATTTGGGAGATGATACTGGTAGAAGTGGAATATATGAAACTGTGCGATCTGAAGTAAGACGGGCTATCACTGATATACAAAATGACCTTGAAATAGTGAGTTCTTCTAGTGTCCTGAGACAACTTTTGATTTCTTTCTTTTTTTTCCTCTGACCTGCATTGATAAATGCGATTGGTTGACTGGAGTTATAATATTGTAGTTGCGTGAACTCTTTTGGTAGTTTATATGACACAAAAATAACTTCGAGTAGAAATGATATCTACTTTGTTAATTGACTATATGTAACATCCTTTTGGCAAACAAGAGTTAAGAGATTATCTTTCATTTATTAAATATGTGGGGTACACTTCCATAAATTTTCGTAGAATTACTAGAGAAGATAGCATGAGATATCCAATCATTCCAATTAGTGTTAAGAGTTTATTGATAAGCCTTGACATGGGATGTATCTCATTGAGACAGATGAGAAAACATGCCCCACAGGTTCTAACTCTGCAATGAAGGTGCCGATAGTGGCATCTGAGAATCCCTAAGAAATTGACATGGGCGATGCATAGAGGCTTGCATGTGAAATATTTTTTAGATAATGGCAAAAAATATTAGTGAAAAGCCTAGCTTTAGCATTATTTGTAGCAAGTGCTCTCAGACTCGAACATACCTTCGTTCCATAATTATAGCTTTTAAAAGATACGGTTATGACATGATGCAGACAAAGGGATATAACAAATTCTTAAAAGATAGACAGTGATACAGCAAGGGGATAACTACATATATGTATATATTGTACTATGTTTATATAAGTATATATAGATGTTACTGTATTTTAATTTAAAATAATTGTTTTTTGTTCTGCTACGTGTATATATTATGATATAAAACTTCCTTATAAAAAACTATGACAAATAAGTACATTAATGAATAGATCAAACCTGCAGTAGGACATCCGTCCCCAAACCAAAGGAAGAACATGTTGTCCACTCTCGTCCAAAGATCACATTAAATGTTCAAGAGTTACATCCCGTGGATATGGATTTTCATATATCTCAATTCTTCTTCTCTAAGAAAGTCCTGGTATTTGAAATTCCTGTTATACTTGTCGTAACTAATGATATTATATTAGTAAAGACAGTTGTCTTGGAGAATTTGAGAAGTATTGGGCATCTCTTTGAAATATAAATATTCATTTTCTAATTGTAGATGCATTTAGGGAGGATCTAACATGTATGCATCAATAATCAATGAGGATCAGTGCTAGATTAGGATACGACATGTGTAGCACTCCCTTATGGAAGTATCGATGCTGTATAGATCTGAGTACACATGATCCTATGCCATCTTAATATATAATTCCCCTTTGCTCCCAATCTCATTGCCTTTTATCCTAGAATTTCGCACCTTTCTTAGCCACGATCACCATATCTGAAATATGGCAACCTCCAGAAAAGTAAGAATTAATTTGAAAACCTAACCCTCAAAACAAAGTACAAGATTTAATTTAAGGAGCCAAACTCCGCACATACAGTAACTTGCAAAGCATGTATGATCTCATACCCTGATTACATCTAAATTAATATTAACAGCTGTCATAACTGCACTTGTATTTGCAAGGAACCATACAAAATTTGAAATTAAAAAGACAAAATAATACCCAGCCTTTGAGAATTTTCATTTAAAATTTAAGAATCCAATGAACTCATCGTAAAAGGGGGAAAAAACTCCACTTTGAATCTTAAAAAACAAATGGAAAATAGAAATCTGAGAAACTGCACTGTGAAAGTTTAAAATCCTTATATGGTCATCCCTCTAGTACGGCACAAGTTGTGCAGTTCCTATACTGAATAATTTGTACCATCATCATCTAATAGATTACTATTTCTGTAAACTCGAGCATTTTTAGTTAATATAGTTTTTAAATATCATTTTTTTATTTAGTTAATATATATCTTTTAAAACTTTATCCAACTTCCTACACAAAAAATGTCTTGCATACATCTTTCTAAGTGTATTTTTAACATTATAACTGAGAAGAGCGTCTTATGTCCTTTTTAACAAAGGAGTTAGGCTATCCATGCTCAACTTTGCTAGCAGCTTTCATGTGTGACAAGGAATTCATAGTTTATGTAACATGTTCTCCATCATACAGTGTTTTTCTTATGTCACAGACCATGAATCTCTGCTCTCTCTTTCATTTGTAATTCTTCATCAGTCTCCACCGTTCAACTGTAGCTCAACTCCCGATTCTAACATGAGAATTATGTGTCCTGTTGTACATAATTTCTTCTTCGATTTAGGGAAAAAAATAATTTATTATCCGTGTGTCTGTTGTGCACGTATGTTTTATGTTTCTATTCTAATAAGCAGTATCATAAAATTTTAAGAAATGATCTGTTATAGGTATAACCGTATAAGAACTATGAATTATTCTTTGTGGAACTAATTTGATTTCTCAAAAATTGGTTTTCTGTGCTTTCTAACTTATTAATGATCAATTATTAGAGAGTTCAATTCTCAACTGTCGAATAAAATTATGAAAAAAAAACCCAGACAAACAGAAAAAGTTTGTAACCAACGTTTGACATTTTGTTGAGGAGATGTCAGTCGTCCACCGCCTATATATTCTAAATATTAATTATTAAATGGTTTATTGTACTTTTGTAGTAAATTTAAATATGATCAGTAACTGGCATGTATTGCCTCATGTAATATATATGATTGGCTTGATTCTCTAATTACATCTTGTTCAGAACTTATACTGCCATCATACACACGCGCGTCCACACTCATACAAATATATGTATCTTTAACTTATTTTTTTTGTTTTGTCTAAGTTTAGGCTATCCGGAGAAGTAATGCTACTGCTATCGCAACTACAAATGTTGCTGATCTTCCTCCTGATTTGGTTAACCCTGGAGCTGTTGAGTTGGTCTTGGACATCAGAAGGGAATATGCCACAAAGCTTGAGGAGGTAATCTATTCTTTCTGTAACCTAGTGATTCATTGTAATAGGGTTTGTATCATTATGCCAAATAGTTGGGGCGTGGTTTAGGGGAAAGATCGTTTGGATTATTACAATTCAGCAGAACATCTGATATATAATTGTCTAATTGCACAAAGATGTATGGAATTATTTATGCAATAATTTATGGCTCAATGCAATTGGGCTTTTGTTGTTATAGCTTTGTAATGTAAAAGAAAATATAGAAATGGAAATTTTGGAGGTAAATTTACTCTTTGGAGGCAATAGCCTAATAAACAAGTGCCATGTATAAGGCTGAGAATCGTCTGTGACCCTTATGAATGACATGTAGTTCTTGGCACTAAGAAGCACGGATACTGATACGGACACGGGACACAGATACAATATGACACGGATACGCCAACACGTCAAATTCTAAAAAAAGTAGGACACGGACACGGACACGGCATGGACACGACTAATATAAATATAAATTTTTATTTATATATCTATTGAATGAGACAATCGTAGAACTTTAATTAATTTATAAACTCTATACTAAAGTTACATAAGTTAAAAGATGAAGCTATTTGAATATAGAAAAGAATATGGTATCATATATAATGATATTACTATCCTATCTTATCATTATAGTTACGTTTTTGTTACTTAGAGGTTGAACACTTTGATGTATATTTGTAATGTTGTTCCCCCGCAAACACCCTCTCCCCAGCAGCCATAATGTTGTTTCCAAGACTGTCGTATGTTTGTTTTATATTAGGCTAAGAGTATCGGATGTGTTGGTCAAGTGTTTGGAATGTGTTGGTCAAGTGTCCAAGATGTGTCTACCAAGTGTCCGAAATAATAAAATTTATTTTTAAATAATGGACATGGCCATGAAGTGCCGAACACGTGTCTAGGCATGTCTATGGGATTTCGGTGGACGCGGCACCTCATAGAAGTGTCCATGCTTCTTAGTATTGGCGTCATCCATATCACTTTCATAATTAATATGTATTATCTTTCTCCATGTGCATGGCAAAGGTGAAATCTCTCTCTCTCTACATTTCCAGAGAACCAAGAATATATACTTCTGTGCTAGTTGCATTTATTGATGTCATTGTTGACTTATTACTTTTTGTGTTTCCAGGCTGCCTGGTTTCAATAAAATAAATGTCATGCTGATCCTGACTTGCAGAATGTCCGAGGACATTCTAATTAGTGCCTTTTCAATTGAAATTCAATTAATTTCACCTTGTTTCCTGTATGCAGTCCCAGGAACGGGCTAGAAAACTTCAAGCTGATCTGGCTGTTGAGGAGCATCGTGGGCTAGAGTTGAGTAGAATCCTGAAGGAAGTCCTTCCAGATCCAAAGACAACTAATGTGCAGAAATCACGTTTACGAAGAAAAGTAGGATTTTGGTTTCTAGCAAAAAAAAAAAAAAAATCATGTATCAAATTCCTAAATTAGCTATACACTTTATGTGGATTAGTTTACATCTAGAACAGTGTGCTGAATGCAACCACAATTCAGTTCCTTTTCTGGAAATAGCATTCATATAGTAGAAAAGTAGGCTGTGCCTGTCTATGTCAGTGTTTGGATAGCTAGCTTTCATTTGGTAAGGTTTAGACACACTAATCAAATAATTCTTTTGTTGTGTATAGAATCTAAAGTGAGTTTAGTTGTACTTGGGGAAAAAAAAGTGAGTTGTCAATGAGCTGTTCTAATCGTGTTTGGAGGTGTGTCAATGGCCTTGGGATAAGAGGTTGGGTTAAGGCACACAAAAGCTTTCGTGTTTGGGAAAAATGGTTATTAGGGAAAAAAGAAAAAGGGTTGGGGGTGGGGGTGTCGGGTTGGGGGAAGGAAGGGGTTATTTGTAGAATTTGGTGTGTGCAATGTTTAGGAAATGTGATTTTAGTTTTGTCTTTGTGGCTTCTGAAGTTTCTCTTTCATTGTACCTAATGCACCATTTTGAGATATTATATCATTGCCTGGCGCAGTGGTAAAACTCAGGCTCATAAGCATGAGGCTGTGGTTTTGACTCTGAGCAGTCACTTTGTGCAAAAATAATGCCAAATGTTAACTGTGTTTCTAGTCTTCTCTCGCAGCACCCCACATGGGAGACCAGCATTGAATAATACCCTTTTATCTAGACTCTTTCATTTTTCTTGTTTTTGGTAATTACTTATGTTCATATCTCGGGCTGTATTTCCTTTTTTGGGTTATGAGTTATAAATTCTGGGTAATTATTCCATTGCAAGATGTTATGCTTAGTTCAAATGCTACAGAGAATAATAGGATGGCTTCATTTTTTGTTGTAGAAACCTTTTGTAACGTATATTTAAGTCCATGCTGAGTAAACAGTTCGCATCTATGTTATGCCGAATTGGAAGGGGCATTTTGGCATCATTTGGTTGGTAAATGTTTGGAAGGTTTTTGGGTAACGGGCATAGAATGCTGGAATCCTCATTCTTTAGCTTGTATCTACATTTGCATTTTAATGCTCAGTGTTCATTGTTCATTTCTTATCAGAATGATTTTATGATTTTTTTATGACAGGCCAGCACTGAAAGAAGAAAGATTTCGAAAAATCTGACAGAAGAAGCTATGGCTTATTTTGATGAATGTGTGTCCATATCAACATTTGATAGCTCTGATTTCTCTGCAACAGAAGAACTACCTTTCAACTTAGTTGGAGCTTTTGCCCAAGCTCCTGCATCATCTTTGCGCCAAGAAAGTCCAAGCATTTCAACCTCTTATCAACCAGACAGTGGCCTCCTCCATAATCAGGTTCTTTTACTCGCTGATTGGTTTTAATGTTCATTTATTGATACATTCTAAACCTTTCAGGTTAGTCTGACCTTCCAAAGGAAATAAAAATTCGCCCTCGCTTATAAATACAGTTTCTAGCGAGTACAATATACAATTTTGCTTCCTATGGATGCATGACAAATTAGGGTAAAAATTGAAACGTTTTATGGAGATATTTTTGTTTTAAAATTTGAAGTTTGAAATTGTAGTCAAAGTTGAGGGGGATGGGTGTGTTCACTGCAATTGGGTTGGGCTTTTCAACGTCGATTCTGTGTTCAGTGACGATTGTGTGTCTAAAGAAATCTTACCATGACTTGTGCTTCTGTTTCAGAGTAGAATGTATTCTGATAATCTTCTAAAGCTGCATGTTTTGTTTTTCTTCTTTTAGCAGTGAAGTTTAGTAATCTAATTATGAGTGGACTGGAAAGAGAGTGCAGTCTTGATTCTTATTGGAAAGTAAAAGATATACATGGAAGGTTCACGACAAGAAATTATACGTATCTCTTAATAGTTTGCAGTAACAAATGAGTTCCTTATGTATCTAACATACAAGCACACAAACAGGAAACTGAAAAGATGCCGGAATTGAAATTAATTCTCTACAATAAGTTATACAATGTAGCATAAATATTATAAACATTTTCCATTAGGACTCCCTTCTCCATGAATCCATAATTTTCCCCCCTTTATTTGTCTCTGTTTTCCTTAGGTTTGACAATATGTAAAAAAGAAAATAACTATCTCTATGGAAAAAAATTGAAAAGATATTTGAATTTGTAATATTTGAGATTATTAGTAGCAAGTTGTTCTTTCATCAAAATTTGTATGTAAGAAAACATTAACTAAAACTTGGTTTCTTATATAAATTATATCCTGCTTACAGGAATCAGTCATCTGTGATCAACCTGAGCATAGTCGTGGAGATTCTGGTTTAACTGCTAACAGCAGCAGTAACGAGCCCATGATAGACCAAGCGACTTTAAGAGGTATCAATAGAGAAAAGGGTCAGAAATTTAAGTTCTCCTTTGCTCGCAAATTAACTGAAACTGTTGGCTTTGAAAATGACATAAGGGATTACATTAAAAAATTTGAGAAAGACAACAACTCAGAGATTATAAGATCAAGTTACTATGATCTAGATGAGTATAATTTACAGGACCACACCCAGAATTTGTTGTTTGACAGGGTGTTCTTCAAGAACAGAATAGAGTCTGGGAGTCTACATCTCTGTGGTGGAGCTTTTACATTTTCATTTTCACCTTTTGCTTCTGTTATCTGAACTCTTCTGATTGTGCAAATTCCCCGAGTTAAATGTGAGCTCGATTCTTTTTTTTTTTTTTTTGTGGAGAAATTGTATGCTGCTAAAATCGCTCTCATCTCCAAGCTCTATGTCACTTGAGAAAGTATGAATGTTGAAATAAAAGTGGAGATTGGATCAATAGACTAGTGATAAATAGTAAGTGCCACACGTAAGCAGCTATGTCGGTTGAATTCTTCTGGCAAAAGTCAAGACCTGCTCGTCAAGTGGTTGTATGCAAAACCCATCACTGAGAGGCACTAGGGCTGGTAATATGTGGCCTTATCTGTGAAAAACTATTGCAGCTATGATAATTTGCTCATAGGTACACAGAATTTGATTCTTACTGTTGTATACTTTTAGTACATGTATCAGTATGAAATTTATAAATTGACCATTTAAGTGTTTTTCCACACCGGTGAGCAAGAAATTTATCCACACCAACTATAGAGACCATTCCATAGGATTGCTATATTGTTTTTTTGGTAATTACCTTTAGCAATCATGCGTCGTAATAGTGTGGAAATAACACATTCAGCTATTGAAAATAATTGCAACTAGTATCCTTTGTGCAAAAAGCCTCTCTAATATAGAAGTAGTGCATATAACACTCCTGAATTCGTCAGGGTGAAGTGGGGAACAAAAATTCTCTTGTGCATATAATAGTTAGCACTATGAATATTGTGCACATAATACTTTGATATAATGAAAGGGTATAGAGATACTTCGCAGGTATGTAACCTTCTTTAAACTTGAAATAGTGGCATCATGTTACACCTTCCCTATTTGTTGAATACTTTGATTTCCATGAATTATCTGAAGCTTCATTTTGTTCAAGGATGTAGTGAGAGAATAGGAAATTAATATAAAGTAGTTTTTTCATTTTTCTTATTTGGTTGCATGGAAAACAGGGCAGAAAATATTGTGAGGAAAACTAGGGGGGAGATTTTTTTAATTTTTCTGTCATTATTTTTTTCTTTGTTTTCAATTATTTTGTAAAATATTAATTTATGTTTTAAAACAGTCGTGGAAAAGAATACAAGGACATTTTTCATTTTCTTTTTCTAGGAAAAAAACAGAAGTTTTTCGTGCTTGCAGGATATGAGTTGGAATCAGAATGAACTGTTGTTGGGGAATTAGGATATTTTCTACTTTGAGGACATTAATGTCCAATGGTTTTCTAATGTTAATGTCAGGGACTCAAGTCTCTTACCATTTCCTCACACCTATCTATTTCCAGTAATGATAAAGAGAACCCTAATAACAAAATTCCAACAAGCCAAGGGAAACTGAAAAGAAAACACAAATCACTACCTAGCTTCACTTTTTGTCCATATTTCTGTGACCGAGGTAGTAAAATAGAATAAGGATGAAACCCTAAGACATATTTTATGGTTCGTATCCGCCCACAACCAACACAAGAAACCGATCAAAGGTTGTCAAAGATGTCAGCAATGGTTGTCATTGAAGACGATGAAGAAGTTAGTGAAGCCGATGAAATGGGAGGAGAAGTTGATACTTCCTGCACTTTCTGATCTGCACCCACCAAACTATCAGCCTCAATCCCAGAACCTGGAGTGTTCAATGTGCCACTCACATTCAAGTAATTCTCAACGGAGAATTCATCAAATATGAAGTTGATGTCATCCAAGTCTGGTAATTCTTCAGCTTCTTCAAGGGGAATGTCAGGAATGGTGAACGGACTGAATGCTGTATCAGGACAGAGGCTCCAAGGGTCCTCGTGCTCGTCGGTGAGGTCCGTCATCTCCATTGCAGGTGGGGGGTCAAATGGCAGAGGAAGCTCGAAGTTGGGAAGTTGGGGTCGGACCATTTGTTCTTCATGTTGTTGTTGTGGTTGTTCTAGTTGTTGTTGTGGTGGTGGTGGTGGTGGTAGGACTATATTTTTGGACTTGCCTGCATAGCTGCTAATGTCAAAATTGGTCACTGCATTTGGTCCCCTCTGCTTTATGGCTGCCATGTCATATGCTTCTGCTGCTTCCTCTTGAGTGCCTTCAGAAGAAATAATAACAGGAATAATAAAAATAATTTAATTAATTAAAAAGAAATGTTTGTTTATGAAACATAATAAAACAAAGTGGATTAGCTCTTGATTATTGTACCAGGCAAAAAGAAAATAATAAAAAAGAATACAAATTTTATTATTTTCCTTTTAATTTGAGGAATAATAACTTGCCTGTATTTTAATGTATGACTAAGTTTAGACTTTTTTGAATATAATGATCAGACTATACTTGATATTTATTTATTTTTAAAGAATGTGGTTGTAACTGCCCAAAACATTACTTTTTTAGCAAATAAAAAAATAAAATAAAATTCGGGCACTTAAAGGTAAAAAGGATAAGAAAGTTTCCATTTCAATGAAAATACGAAAATAAAAAAATTCCGTGAAATTTCACAAACCAAAGGAAATATATTATTGGTTATTAATTTTGTAAGAGGGGGGCTACCTTTAACCATAGGAAGATAAAAAATGTTGTGGGAGCAATAGTTGGGTTTTTCTATAATTTTAATGGGGGCAATTTTAAAATTTTATAGGTATATAATACAAAAAAATAAAAAATAAAAAATAGTAGGTATATATAAATAAATAAAAATTAGTTGGGGCAAATTGAGGTTGCGGAGGCTAAATCACTCGAGGATTGCATTATGAAGAAGTGCAACTGGTCTCATTTGTGTTGTGGAAGTCTGAGTGCATTTTGAAAAAGTTGAACGGGTTGCACTTTTCAGGAACAAATGACACTTGTGATGAAGTAGAACCGATTGCCCTCTAAGTGGAACCGGTTGCACTTAGGCAAAGAAGACCACAACGGTGATTCTAAGAAGTTGAATTGGTTACACTTGAAGTTAAACTAGTTTTATGTGCGAAAATTAGTTTATTTTGGACTCTCCATAGGATTGGAACTTGTGTGGCAAGTTGTGCTACTATATATATTGGGTTTTGTACCAACCCTGGTGTGTGAGAACGAGGGGTGTGAAAGTATTGTGCCTACACATGAGAGAGGAAACTCTCCATTGTAATTTTTCATCATTTTCATAGTGAAATTGTCTAGTGCGCTCTGTTAACGTAGTCCTAACTTTGGGTGAACCATATATAGATATTGTGTTAATTGTGTGATTGTTTTCTTTATGATTGCTTTGTGTGTGAGTGATTACTCCATGGATGTTGTTATTTAGGATTTTTGCCACAACAATTGGTATCAGAACGTTGATTTTTGAGAACTTTGGGCACAACAGCGGCGTTTGACAAAATCCCGGCGAGTTTTTCGTATTCGACCTATTTGTTCAAGTGGGTGTAATGACATCAAAAGATAAGACATCCATGGTTGAGAAATTCGATGGCATAAACTTAGTTTTAAAAGATGCAAATTAAGGACCTTTTATTCCAAAAGAGTCTGCATCAACCTTTGGGATAGAAGTAAGAGGAAACAAAGAATTCAAATTGGGAACTACTGGATCAGAAGGTTCTTGGTATTACCAGAATGACGGTGTTAAAATCAGTTGCCTTCAACATCAAGAACAAGAAGACGACGAGGTTTCTCTTAGCAACCCTTTTTAGTATGTATGAACAACTATCTGTAGCCAACAAGGTACACTTGATTAAGAAGTTATTCAACTTGAAGATGGTCAAAGGTGAAAGGTTTAACAAGCATCTAAATGGGTTCAACGAGATTGTGAGCCAATTAAAGAATGTTGCTTTCAATTTCAAATATGATGTTTAACCATTGTTAATTCTAAGGCAGTTACCCGAGAGTTGGAGTGGCATAGTTACTGCGATTAGTAGCTCTACAAGGTAGTCTAAGTTGAAGTTCAACTATGTTGTTAGCATAATTCTAATGGAGGAGATCAGAAGGCAAACAACAAGTAATTCTACCAGTGGTTTGACTTTGAAAATATTGAAAGCAAAGACAAAAGTTCAAATAAGAAGAAAAACAACAGTAATAGATATGGCAAATCCAAGTCAAGGAAAAGAAGTTTGCAGTCTTAAAATTTTAGGAATTCCACAAATCTTAGTGACATTGAGTGTTGGAATTGTGGCAAGAAAGATCATTACCGAAGAGATTGCAGATTCCCAAAGAAAGAAAATGAAGGAAAAATAAGAGCAAACATGGTCTTAGAATAGTCAAATAATGCATTGATATGCTCTTTGGAGAGTAAAGCGGAGTCAAGGGTATTGGATTCCGATGCATCTTTTTATACTACCTCAAGTGGAGAGCTATTAGATAGCTACGTTTTGAGTAACCTTTGGAAGGTGTATCTTGGCGACGATCAACCCTGCAACGTTGTTGGCAAGGGTGAAATACAGGTCAAGTTGAATGGGCCTGTATGGAAATTGAAGGATGTTAGGCACATCCCTAACTTAAGGAATAATCTGATTTCGATGGGATAGTTGTTAGATTAAGGTTTTGTTACAACCTTCAATGGACACTAGTGGAAGGTTTTCGAAGATGCTATGAACATTGCACATGGTAAGAAGACTAACATTCTCAACATGACTGCCGGTGCTTGTGGGTCGATAACAATTGCTCACAACCTTTGGCACCAAAGGCTAGGTTACATGAGTGAAAGGGGGCTCAAGATTATGCACTCGAAGGGGAAACTACCAAGCCTAAAGGTTATTGATATAGACTTCTATGAGAGTTGTGTGATGGGAAAGCAGAAGAGGGTTAGTTTTAAAAAGAGTGGCAGAATTCTCAGTGAGAAAAAGCTCGAGTTAGTTCACACAGATGTTTAAGGACCAACCTTAGTCTTATCCATTGATGAAAAATCTTATATTGTGACTTTCATTAATGATCATACAATAAAAGTATGGGTTTATTTCTTGAAGTACAAATCCAAGGTATATGAGGTATTCAAGAAGTGGAAAGCCCAGAGGTGGCTGGAGCCTAAAGCGACTTAGGCAGTCGCCTAAGGCCCCAACCAATAAAAGGCCCTCAAAAAAATTTATTTCCTTATGTATTGTTACTTCTCTAAAAAAATTATTTTCTCCTCAACCAATCAGAGAGGCCCCAATTTTTTTTTTTTTACTTTCTTATATTATTACCTTTCTAAAATTTTATTTCATTAAATTATCATACCCCAACTGATGGCAAAAGGCCCCAAAAGTTTTATTTCCTTCTATAACGACCTCCATAAAAATTTTATTTCCTTATTAAACCTCAACCAATAGCACAGATTTAATAATAGGCCCAAAGAATTAACTTCTAATTTTTATCCTTATTGAATTCTCTTTTTTCCTCCTCGCCTCCCCTCATTACATATTTTTTTCTCTTTTATCTTTAGATTATTTACATCTACTCTCTTAATTATTAAGCATATATCTATTGGACGGTTATATATACAGAGTATTTTAAAAAATATATAGCAAAAATTGTATATAAAGAATTCAATTATTATTTAAGAAAAAAAAATCAATTACTAACTTTACATCTCAAAAACCAAGAAAAGTGATTATTAAACAAATATAATTAACTATTATTTAAAATTAATATATTACATATTAAAGGCCAATTTTATATCGTCTGCCTAAGGCCTCAAACTATATTGAGTCGCCATTGGGAAGGCCATGGTGGAGAATGAGATGGGTTTGCATATTAAGAGGTAAATGTTAGACAACGATGGTGAATATGAATACATCGAATTCAAGAAGTTTTGTTATGATAATGGGATCAAGTTGAAAATAAATGTGTAAGGAACCCCACAACAGAACGGCTTGACAGAACGGATGAACTGAACATTGACCTAAAGAACCAAAAACATCCACATACATTTGGGTCTACTCAAGCAATTTTGGGCAAAAACAGTTAGTACAACAACCTACTTGATTAATCGCGGACCATTAGTGCCACAAGAACATTGGATACTAAAGGAGGTATAGAGCGGTAAAAAGGTTAATTTTTCTTAGTTAAAAGTTTTTTATTGTACTGCATAGGTGCATATTAGTGACCATGCTAGGGGAAAGCTTGACCCCAAGTCACTAAAATGTATCTTCATTAGGTTGGTGGAGATGAGTTTGGTTATCGACTTTGGGATGACTAGAATAAGAAAATCATCAAAAGTAGAGTCATGGTTTTCAACGGGAAGGAGATATACAACAACAAGAATGCAATATAGTCAACTAGTCTTATATAGAATAATTTAAAATACGTTGAATTGGATATTGTTCCAGAGAGTAGTGTAGCGGAGTAAACAGTTGAGGGTTCATGGCCTGAACCCACATAAAATAGTGCACCGCAAAGTCCAACTCTTACTCCTGCACCCCGAATGTCTGTAGGTCTTTATGTACCGAATCGAAGGTATATAGATTACTTGTTGCTCACAAATTATGGTGAGCTTGAATGCTATGAGAAGGCATGCCGGGTTGAAGATGCTAGCAAGTGGGATATTACAATGAGAAATGAGAAAAAGTCATTTATCTCCAACAAGATATGAGAAGTAGCCAAGTTAGCTGTGTGGAAGAAAGCCCTTTACAACAAATGGGTGTACAGGGTTAAAAGGAACATGATTGTTCCAAGAGATACAAGGCATGGTGGGTGGTCACGAGGCTTTTAGCAAAATGAAGTGATTGAATACACATACATCTTTTCCCCAGTTATGAAACTGAGTACCATTTGTTCAATTTTTAGCATTGTTACAGCAGAAGGGTTGTACCTTAAACAATTAGATATCAAAACTGTTTTCTTCTATGGTGACCTGGAGGAAAAGATTTACATGCACTTATTTAGAGGAAATGAGAAATTAGTATGTAATTTTAAGAAAAACTTGTATGGTTTGAAGCAAATCCTAAGGCAGTGGTACAAGTTTTGACGACTTTATATAGAGATGTGGCTATTATAAGTGCAATGGTGCCCATTGTTTCTACTTTGAGAGGTTTGAGACGAGTTACATTATCTTTTTACTTTATGTTGATGACATGTTAGTGATCAGTTATGATTTTAAAGAAATCAGCAAGTTGAAGAAGCCGTTGTCAGGTGAGTTCAAGATAAAAGATC